GTCGCACATTCAAATTGCACCGGTTTCTGTATTACTTTAATAATTCCTAAAAAGTAACGGGTAATTAAAGTAATCCGTTACCAATATTCTGTAACGAAGTTACATTACTGCCGCAAAACAGTAACGTGGCAATTACAAAATTACTTGAAAAAGTAATGGATTACTTCCCATGTCTGTGTTAAAGTAACAGCTTTAAAACGCCATGAAGGTTTTCAGTCGTTCAGCTTCAGCACTAGCCCGCGGACCTTTGTAGTTTCTTGACGGCGCATACACGCCAGGAGCTCGTGCGGCATCCGCATATTATCTAAGGTAGAAATCGCGCGCTCCCAGAAAAACAACTTAAAAAAAAAAGTGCATTTTATAGTAACTGACAGGATTCGAGCTACAGAAAGGTTCCGAGTAACGATTAAGAGTTGAGCCTTTTGGTACACACTTATAAATAGATCAGCTTGAACTTTAGGACTACGCTTGGACACGGAGAAAGAAAGAACAGGAGAGGACAAGGTCTTTCAACGCGGAGCGCGAGTTCGTCTGCTTGTTTTGCAGGGATTGTGGTGTCGTTAGAAAGACGTCGTTCTATGATTGACTCTGAATGAGGGATAGTCGGTAGACGTCAAAATAAGCTGCCTTAAAGGGGTCATGAAACGCTTTTCCAACTTTTTCCTGTTTCGCTTTCCTCCTCAACTCATAAATCGCGCATTCCACCAAACAGTTAAAGAAGACGAAAAGGGGGAGTCCCCTCTTGCTCGCACTCTCGTTTGCGTAATCCCGGACACATCCATTCTCCCCCTAGAAGATTAGCCCGTCGCTCAAAATTCAGACAACAGTTGCTTTCCCCACCCCGTTCATTCCGAAGCTGACAGTGCTGTTGAAGCTACGTGCTCGTTGGGCCAGCCACACTTGCCACGAGAGCGTGGCAAATGTGGCTGCAGAGAATGAAGTCAGGTGATGAAAGGGAGGCGGCTGATTGGTCCGGCAAGCGCGTAGCTTCCACCACAATGTCAGCTTAGGGGTGAAGGGAATAAGTGAGGTCCGGTCGTGTGACGTCAGTTTGGACCCGATAACGCGCTTTTGGGACCGCGGATGTATCACAGTGAAAAGGCAGAGAGGTTGCGAAGGGGAGGAGGTACGAAATAGTCCGCTCTGTTTTTAAATTTTCGCACTGAAAGTCAGGCTTTTGACTTTCTACCTTTTTTCTTTTGGTCCACTGAACGATGTGCTATTAGTAAAATCCCAATCTAAAATGATTTATCCCAACCCAAAAATCGTTTCATGGGCCCTTTAAGGTCTACCCAATATCCTTCAATGAGAGCCAATCAGAGCTCGGGGTCTTTCTGACGTCACCACAACCTCTACAAATGAGGCAGACGAACTCGCGCTCGGCATTGCTCTGCGTCCAACTAAGCTCCCTACCTTCGATGATGCTTCGGCGTCTCGTAACCCCCTAGAGAGCGTGAGCAGCGATAGCACAACGAAAGGCAACGAGCGTGACTGAAGGCGAAGCATTGGAAAGAGACGCCCTGCCCTCCTCAACCTGTCACGTGGCTATAGCTTTGGCTTGGCTGGGCTATTTGGTACTCGTGAGGGATATCTAAAGTAGAAGCTCGTGACGAAATGGGACTTCAGCTTAGTTTAGAAACTTAGTTTTATGCTTCCAGAGAACACCGGCGAAGAGCTCGCGAAAAGATTAGTTTTAATTCGACGAAAATAAAACGCAGGTGTATCATTCCTGCATGCGTCTATGCGTCTTCTCCCTCGGTGCTCATTTGTGACGTCACGTGATGAGCTTGCCGCCTCCTCACTTCTTGCGTTTCGTTCCTAGTTCCGACTAGGGTACCTTGACGGAAAGCGTAAGAGGCCTAAGCTAACGTCGCTGAGATATTGAGAACGCACACAGAAAAAAGTGTGATGCCACGAGGTCGCTCCATACGATGACGTCAACAAATCTGTGAGATGGCGAAACGTGTTCGGCAGTATAAAAGTTCGGACATTTCTCAAATAATTTCTGGGCGATTACATCGTTAATCGCGTGAACATCTGGAAGCATAACAACGATAAAAAAAAAACGCGTGTATTTTTTTTTTTTTTTTGAAAACGGAAGCACATGTATGGTGAACATTGACCTTTCTAGGTCGCACTTCAATCCCCCGATGTTGCAGGTCTTCAGTAAATCTTGAAGTTGATGGCCCAAGATCCTTGCAAGTTCGGGTTCTGTCCTCTGTTTTGTCGCCAGCCACAGCACAAACTGTTCCAACTGACCGTCGTCTTCGCCTCGCGTCTACATGAATCGGAAAGAGAACGCCCTTCTGTACTCAAATATCTTTTATTAGCCAGACTAACTTCCGTATGTTCCCGTTCTGTTTTTTCCTTACTGAATATAGAGCAATTTTATTTGTGACTTGCTCAATACATGTATCGGACGTTAAATAAATTATATATTTAGACATATAGGAGTTCTTAGATGATCATGTATGTTCTCATTAGTTTACTGGACACATTCATATAACTTTTTGTTATAGGGAATTTTTTATTGTTTGCCTTTGTTTTCCTCATAATAATATTAATAATAATAATAGTTCGTTTTTCATTACACGTAATGATGAAGCCATGAAAAGAAGCCGCGCTACGCGGCTTGACGAGTTTTCGGCCCCAGTACATAATCGCAGTGAAAACGAAAAAGAAAACTACAAAAGAGAAAAAGGCGCTGAGCACCATGTTAGTCCACATTCGTAAATCAACACAAACATAAGTTTAAACTGAAAAAGAAAACCGATCACATTAAATGTACCTCTGCAAAACCATGCATGACAGAGCGCAATTCATTCAGAGTTAATTTATCTATAAATACACCTTCAGAATGCAATACATTTAGAAGCTTTGGGATTCGGTATGCTAACATTTCTTTTCCAGTATTTAGATGGCACGTTGGTACGTGCCAGTAATCTTGATTACGAATCTTGTATGGTATGATATGTTGTTGTAACCCAAACAATTCTACCAGGGACGAAGTGTTATAAAGAAATTCTGTTCTAAGCTTTGTGGATAGCCTATAGTTATAAAGATTGCAAATACTCACTATGTTATAAGTTTTAAACAGGTTTTCCGTGTGCGAAAGTTAAGGTACGTTTGCAATTACTCGCAACATTTTTTCTTGAAGCAGGTGCACTTTCGCAAGATTGGTTACAGTGGTGATACCCCGAACCAACGAACAATAATTTAAGTGGGATAGTGATTTGTATAAAAATATTGTAACAGATTTAGGAAGTATATACCGATGCCGATATATAATTTCCACAGTTCTCGACAATTTTCTATATAAATATTCAATATGGTTATCCCAGGACATACTCTGAGAAAACACCACTTCAAGTGTTTTGAAGTTATAAGTTAATTCTAGACTTACCGAGTTTTAGGTAATTGTGTTTAGTGGAGGAACAATTTTATGCTTAGATCGAAATAGTGCGACCTTAGTTTTACTTGTATTTATTTTTAAAGCGTTCTTTTTTGTCCATAGAGATATCTGGCCTAACAATTAGTTTACGTTTGACACGAGCTCCTCAGGATCGTCCGCAGCATACAGAAGTGTTGTATCGTCAGCATATATTATCAATTTAGTTGTTTGGTCAATATTCACAACGTCATTTACATATACGTTAAAAAGAAAACGGCCTGAGATACTTCCTTGTGGTACTCCAGAGACTATGGGTTTTATACTGGATGAAAAATTACTACAGCACAGATATAGTTTACAATTTCCGAGATATGATTGCAATAAAAGCAGGGCTTGCCCGCGTACTCCATAACATTCAAGTTTTTGTAATAAGAGTTTGTGGTTCAAATAATCAAAAGCTTTCGTAAAGTCAATATAAACTCCCAAAACTAGTTTTCTGTCTTCTCGATTACGTAATAAAGAGTCGATGACCACCATAGGATCTAGATATAAAAGTGTACTTGAATGAAAACGCATTGTGACGTGAGCCAGATTCCCGCGAGAATGTTTGAAACTTCGCGCGTGAGAAGTAAATTTATATCACTGTCGTCAGTTTGTATGTGGAACCCGTTATATCGGTGTGCGCGTCACGCTTCTCGATCGGCATATACACAAAAGCGGTTTCACGAGATGGCGATCTAATTCTACATGCTAGTTGCACGTCAGAAATGCGTAATAAACTCTTTCTTAGTGCTCCACTGTGCGCCGATATCTGTGATATAATTTCCGAAAGCCTGTTTCACACGCTCGCTGATGATAGCGTAACTGTCGTTTTTGCATGTGACAAGTCTACACAAAACACTTTAGCGAGCAATAGGTACTTATAACATTCCGTTTATCCTAGTACATCGTACTGAATTAAAACATCCCGAACGCGCGTGACGATGACGTGATTCAAGCGGCTTAGCCGGTTCAACAGCCTGACGAAAGAAGAAAGGCCAGGGACGGCTTGTAAGTGTCGAGTTTTTACAGTCTAGCTCTTCGTAGTGCCAAAAGCAAAACTGCAACATGATTGAGCTCGTGAGATATATGAGGGGCTTGTCCCCTTCTTGAGAGGCGACGCCATTTTGAGCAATTGAGGAGCTCTCCATTTAATGTCAAACACAAGTTTAATTTTAAGACATCGCGTAGTCGGGCGTGAGATTATCGTGTGGTAAGTACTTGAGTTAAGAAGACTATATTCTCTCTTTTCACAGCAACATCATGCCACAGAAGAGGAAAAAAACAATGGCGAACAAGGAAACTTTTCCAGAAAGTGGATCGGGAATCACTTTGATACAACAAGGCGCCCAGGAAAATAATTCCAGAAGGCGTACGATCTATTCTCTGACCGAAGTTACTTTGGTACCCTACACGCACACGACTTTCAATTGCAGTTTTATGAAATCGGTTAACGCGCTATTACGGCTAGCATTCTACGGTACTTTTAGATGAGTCAGTTCTAAGCTAACTTGGACGCCTGAAATAAGGCTTACGACATACGAGACCACCAGCGAATGCAATCGCCTACCCGGGACTCCAGAAACACACACACTCACCACAGTAGCAACGGCCGATTTGTTGCAGAGAAATTCCTGCAGCTCGTAAGACAGGTCCGTGTCCCTCCCGCACAGCAGGCTCTTGCGCACGGGGTTGAGGTTGCAGAAGGTGACGGCCGGGAACTCCACGTTGGTCATGTCCTCCAGGCGGATGCTGACCGTGAGCGGGTACTGAAAGTACTCTTCGAGAAGGTCGTATAGGTTCCCCAACGCCACAGAACCGAGACCCACAAAGGCTATGAACCAGAGGATGATTCGGAGCGGATGTTTTGATTGCGCCATCTGCGAGAAGCCCGGTACGGTCGAGAGAGCGTACATGTTTCTCGCGCTGAAGCAGCAGTTGGCATGGTCCTCACTGGACGCCTCGTCGGAGGTTGTAGATGTCTTGGTCTGAATCGAGGGTCTCTTTCGTTGATGCTGGTAGTACCTCGGCGCTGGCCTTAGCCTATTCAAGTCAATGAAAGATGGCGGCGCGAGCCTGTACTGCTGGAACATGCGCCTATTGTTGCTGAACAAGTCCATGCCGCGATGCCATAGATGGGACTGCGAGGCTGGTGGACCGTAATTCATGTTGGTGCGTTTTGAGGATGTTAGTGCCTGTAGCTTGGATGTTCATCCATCGCCCGCAAAGCTGCGATCACCAAAGACGTTAGTCCTCCTTTCACGTCCCGAAGACATAATGAGCTTCTTTTATACCGGAAACGGCTGTCTTCTTGTTTGATTTACTTATAGATCTTTAAAATTCGGTCACTCACTACGCAAGAAACCAACTTTGCCAACTTAGCAGACATTACCTTAACGTTTCTTTCTGGCCAAGATAATTGCCAAACCATCTCAAAGAATATCGTTCTACAGTTTAAAAGACGTCTAATGAATCTCTATAAAAAAAACATCAACGGGGCTCAAAGATGGAAAGGCGTAAAATGCTCCCTTTCCAAATACACATGAAGAAGCTTCAGTCTGGTGTCTGGTCGCAGGCTGCCTGGTTGCAAAAGCAAAAGGCCTGAAATAAAGCAGTACATATTGGGGTTATACTAGGGTCTGGTTTAGAATAGCAGAAACTCACAGCAATTTGGTGAAATGGCACGTTTCGATCGCGCACGTAGTATCGTAGCTCTTTAGTGGTAGTCTTGATCAATGCTTCACGATCTCAGTCCAAAGACACATACTGGTAAGATGGCAACCGTGGCGCATTGATTCTACGCAACAATCGACGTCACTCTCAGTAGGTCACAGAACTAAAAGCTTTCTGGCATCCTTCACGGTCATTTCCGATCGGACCCTTTTCCTTCCTGCACTCGGTGCACTTGCGTTCACTGATCGGGAAGGTTAATCAAGACCGAGCTTTCTGAATACATATACAGGCGCTCGCTTTCGTGCAGTTGGCTCATTAGAGTTGAGTGGTTCCATGATTGTTGTTCACGAGGTAGATGCTGCAGATCGTTTACGATGATTTTCTCTTTTTTTTTATGGTACGTTGCTGTAAAGGTTCTTCTTTGCAAAATAAAGAGTTCATATGACGTCAGTTTGCAATATATGAACCACTGCTAGACAAGTGTTGATGGGAAAAGAAAAACAAAACAGTTAACATATCAGTAAGAAGCTTGAAGGGGGGGGGGGGTAGCCATGTTTTCCGGCGTATCACCCACTCCCACCGTGCAACGACGAGAGTTTGAAACACTAGTTTGGTTGGCCTGGCGATGCTGCGCCTCCTTAATATAGTTATTTTAATACTAGAAGCGCCTCATCGCGGCGTAATACCTCGCTATGCATTGTGGGAATCCGTGGGAAGCAGACTCCATACGCGCTTCGAGTCCAAGCCCCCAGGTTTCCAGACTGCAACGCGCGCGGTTGCGGATTTATGAAAATACAGGGTGTCACAAAAGAAAATTTACACGGTCTTTTTTACCGCAAAACTAAACTAGGCATCGCCGAACGCTCATTCTCCGCCGAAAGGTAGAGCTAGAGGTCACAACCAGATGCCAAAGTTTCAACCCGATCCGATAACTTAATCAAAAGTTATAAGTGATTTTCTGAAAAGTTCAATGGGAAAATGGAGCCCATTTTTGCCTGTTTTCGGTTTCTGGTGCCATAGAGCCCCATATGTTTGAAAACTCCGTCGGCCGCCATTTTCCCATTGAAATTTTCAGAAAACCACTTATAACTTTTGATTGAGTTATCGGATCGGGCTGAAACTTTGGCATCTGGTTGTGACCTCTAGCTCTACCTTTCGGCGGAGAATGAGCGTTCGGCGATGCCTAGTTTAGTTTTGCGGTAAAAAAGACCGTGTAAATTTTCTTTTGTGACACCCTGTAGATAATCTATTCGTTTCGGTTTGCGGGTCTCTTCCACCGGATCGTGAACATAATACGGTTGCATCCTGGCTGTATGCCCGTTTCCACTGTTTACATAAATCAGTCCAGCCAGCGCTCGAAATTGCGGCCAGCCAGAAAGTGCGCGTGCATAAGACACAAACACAGCAATGAAAGCGCCCTTAAACTCCTTTATAGAAAGGTGTATAATAAGTTTTGAGTGCGCGACTGCTGAGCGCGTGCTGATGGCGAGCTTCCAGTCACCTTGGAGCGTGCATCCGCACCATCAAGTTTACCGGTCTTAGTATCCTATTAATGTGAACTCGTTCCGAGCATACGCTGTAAACATCGCCCTCAAATATGGCGTCGAGTGAATGCCACGGTAATCAAATGTGTTGCTGCATAGCCCACTTCAATTTTTAATATCCGGTATTGGCGCCGTCTTCCCATGTCGCGCCGATATCGCATGCCGAAGCAATAGACCATTTTCTATATTGCCCAAGCATCAAGGAGGATGCAGGGATTGGTGTTCCACACGCCCACACGCGCACGCCTTCCCCGTGTAAAAAATTCGAAGTAAATAACCGAAATAAAGCGTTGAAGAACGCGCGTGCAAGATAGTTTGTTTTAGGTTTTTGCTTTACAAACTTTACTACTGCTGAGGCCAGCAGGTGCCGCGCGTGGAACACCAATCCCTGCATTCTCCTTGATGTTTGGGTAATATAGCAATAGGTCTATAGGATGGACCGCGAATCATTCATCCATTCATCTATCGACTACTGTGCGCATTCGTGCTGTCTGCTACTTGAATAGTGCTGGTACAAAAAGCCAAAAGAAGACCCCTGCTTTGTCTCTAAATAATCCTTCCGCAAAGCTAACTTTAAAATAAAATTCCGTAAGGAACTCGGTGTTTTTAGTAGCTCCGAAGTTGTATTGCGTCAATTCTTGATTTGCTCCCTATTTACCGATAGCTCGCCTCTACACAGAGAAGCCGTCCGAGGCAAATACCCAAGCAAGCTTCAGCCTTTTGTAGTTCCATCGAAGAACACAGTACACGTTGCGACATGGCATAACTTTGCATTGTTTAAAAACTTCACAATAAGGTCTTTCGAACAAATTGAAGACAGTAAGATCATGTACACTCGAACACCCGTAAAAATATCGCTGTTTTACACACTTACACGTGCATTTAAACGGACTAAAATAAAAATCAATAGGTAGTTCAATGTCTAATATGTGAAAGTTATGAACACGAACTTTATTAGTATAAAGAATCAAATGCTTAGTAAACAAAACTATATTAAAAACAAACAAAGCTTAAGGTGAAAAATAGGTCCCAGAGTGTCCAGACGCGCCAGCTCCGCTGTCCTCTGCGTCAGTTTCGTCCGACGCAGCAGCCTGTAGACCCACTTGCGTTCCCATGTCCTGCCTCGTCTGTTGCCGTTCTTGCTGTTGCTGCTGATGAAGGAGCTGAAGCTGCTGAAGATGCTGGAGCTGCAGCTGAGACTGGCTCTGATCCACGACTGGTCTGGCAAGGTTGCTCCTGGCCAGTGCCACCCAGTGAAGGTAGTTGCTGGGCACAACGTCGTAGTTGACCCTCAGCATGGGCGGAACTGCTGAACCGCGGCTCGACCAGTCAGCTTCTTGCGGCTGGGACGCGAATGGCGGCACCGACGGTCTGGTTTCGCCTGGTATGACAATGCTGCGGCTGGGGAAACATGGCTCCGGGAGCGGTCTGGCTGCCGAGTTTTGCAGCCTCTGGAACAGGGCACTCAGCTCCAGATGACCGCTCGTAGGCATGCAGCTGGGTCTTGGCGCCCCCTGAGGCTGCCATAGTGGACGCGGAATGGGCGGCTGAACTGACTGCTGACTAGACTGCTGAACAGTCGGCTGAACCGTCGCCGGAGCGGTTGGCATCGACTTCCAGGGGCCGCCAGAGAAGACGTCGGTCGGTGGTTTGCCGAAAGCGTGGAGTCGAACGTGCGAGCCGGGGATCGGAATGGTGTCAGGATACCCGGTTCGCAAGACTCCCGACGCTGCCAGGTTCTGGGTGCGGTAGTCTCTGTGGCTGGAGCGTCGTTGTTCCCCGTATTGTTGGGGGATCGCCTGCCCGACCGTGACTCTGGAGAACTGGTCGAGGAGGTTTCTGGATGGTGGGCTGCGGTAAAACTGGGGGGAGAACTTGCCCCTGCACGAGAAAAGTTTGATCCAAGCTATTTCCTCCTAAAACACGGAGAATTATAACTCGCCAGAACACATACAAAAAATTATATTCAGACTTACGGCACAAAAACTATGGACGCCATATTGTGCCATACTGAACAAGGCAATCAGGGTATCGCAATGTTGCAAAAAGTGACTTTTAAACCAGCCAAGAGTAGATCTGTTTTTTAAGGCCAGTGTTAATAATAAAAGGCCAGGAATCTTCCGAACGGGGCTAGAGGATGCCTTCCTTGTAAAAGAGTAGGATGTAATGGGATGTGGTAGCAAAAGAGTCCCGAAAAAGGAGTACGACCGATTCTGTCCTAGACAGAATTCGTCGTGCTCCTTTTCCTTCCTAGCCAGAGGCATAAGATATGCAGAATGCTAAGCGACTCCACAGTGATCACAAACAAAGCACCTACAGAAAGACGTGAACTCCGAATGCTCTATACCTCGATCGTTTCACCTTAAGTCCAGACGCAGCCGACACTACGAGCTGATGGGAACAATCAGACAGCGGTAAAGGGTCAGCATCATGGTGTTCCCCGTGTTCTTTGTACGTGTTCCTTCGTACGTGTTCTATCATTGCTGAACCCATCAAACAAAACAAAAAGCCTAGTGACTCGCACTTTTGACGCTACTTGATTGATTCCATCACCTCGCCGCGTCAGCAGCGTCTGGACTTACGCTGAAACAAAGTACAAGAAAGGAACATTTATATCATACCTGGTCATCTCAGACTTGCGCACAAGCAGAAACTCCCTCGACAACGCGTCCTTATTGACACGAACCTGGAAGTCAAGACATCGGTTAGCCTCTCAGGATAGTTCCTTGGCAGAAACCTCCTACATCTTTCCCCTTCTTTAGAAACTATTATCGTACCTCTCTCACCTGGTAGGACGTAGAAACTGCCCCTCTTCTAGGATTCTAACATCACATCCACATTTTTAATGTGATAGTATTCTTTAGCCAGCGTTCTACCTGACTAGCATTCCATCTCACATCTAACACCGTAGCGTTCCATCTGACATGACAGTCAGTCGTCGTAGTCTTCTCTCACGTGGCACGCACCACATGCAAAGCTGCCCAACGAGGAACCGAGTCGACATCCATGACAGTTTGAAATTCTTGAAATATTAATCAAGCACCACAATCTTTAGCGGGAGTATTTTTAAACAGTAATCTTTCAGACTACTTCTCGTAGTAGCGTCGCTTCACGGACGGGATTAGAGGCGTATCTGGGCCGCGAACCGGCCGGGCTTTCCGCTCTTTCCCTTGTATATATTGCTCTATGGCTGATGCGTGAATGAGAATGACATATCACAAGGAGCTGCGACGAAGAAAACGGTTCATAACGTACCTCACTCGTGAGGGAAACCACCAAGAACTCGCTTCCCTTCAGGGTGAAGCGAATGGCCGACGTGCCCGAGAGTAAGTGGTCGTCCCTCTGTTCGAGGATGCGCAGCGTCGGCTCGTATTCGCAGTTCACTTTCAGGGTCATCTGGAGCAGAAACAGTCATTATCATGGAGCCGTTTACTTTCCGTGAAATCTATACTAGCCCCTCAATAGCACAGGTGCGAGAGTCTGGCTTTATGAGGGTCATTCCGAGCGCTCGTGCAAACCGTGCTAGTGTCCTCAGCTTATGAGGCCGGAATAGCTGAACGAGCGAACGGCGCAATTTATCGAAAACAAAAAGAGGGAAATTGTCACTTGGGGAAACTTGTGGGAAATAGCCAACACGTGACGCGACGTCAATTTCCCCGCTAAATTTAGTGGGGGGAAGTAACGACACGCGATATTATGTCACGCCGTATCACGCAACGTGGTTACATGACTTGGCGTCACGGTGTGATGTCGTGGTGTCACGCCTTACCATAATGTCACGTGACGTCAACTTCCAAGCTTATAGCGGGAAAATGAACGGACAAACAGACGGACACGTTTCTTGATTTAGGGAGGGGGGCTTCCTTAAAAGAAATAATTTTACGCTTTAATAATTAAAGAGAAATGCAGGCTTTGTTTGAACCGAATAAACGCTATACGTGAGGTGTTCACCTAGGTGAGTTAAGTCAGCCCGGCGGAACCACGATATACACGAGGGGTTCAGCTCTAACACAACCGACAGTCCAGCTTCCGCAGGTTCTGCGTACAACCTGGCAACAAATCTGCATTGCTTACAATACGTCGTACAAGTCCGCCTGCTACTTGCGCAGTTTGTGCGTTTGTTTGCTCTCCAAATGATCCAAAGTGCTTTAGTTTCCCCCCGACCTAAACAGATGAGGGCGCGCGCTTGGCAGCCTCGTCATCGCACGCTCCCTGGGCGATCTCTACGTTGCCCTTTGATTGGCGTGAACTGGCTTCCATTTCGATGCGCCAAAGACGCACTTTGTAGCGCTTGCTGGGCGTATGCACCGGGAAACTAAGGAAGAAGAGGAGACGAAAACGCGCGGGGACGTCAGAATGCCACGCTCTGATTGGAATGAATAGTGGGTAGACCTAAAGCTATGCGGAGCGCAAGTTTCGTCTGCTTCTTTCGTAGAGGTTGTGGTGACGTCGGAACGCCGAGCTCTGATTGAAGGATAGTGGGTAGACCTCATGCTAGTTGCCTTGAGGTCTACCCGCTATCCTTCAATCAGAGCCAATCAGAGCTCGGCGTTCAGGCGTCAGCACAACGCTCGCGAAAGAAGCAAACGAACTTTCACTCCCCATAGGGAGTATTTATTCACTGACAGCGGCCATAGCTGTGTTCGCGATTGACGGCATTCGGCTCTCGCATTCGACGAGTGCAGGGGGGACAGAGGCAGCTAGATTTAGGCCTACCAACTAATCGTTCGAAACCGAGCCCGACGTTCCGACGTCCCCGCGCTCTCCCGTCTCCTCCCCTCCCTCAGTTTCTCGGTGCATAGACCTTTCCAATAATTGCCTTCTTTGGACCGCGATCTTTGTATCCTGGTCTGTAGAACGCGTTCAGAGCGTGCGCAGTAGCTCTTTCACAAAATACGAGACGCCGCCTACGCATCCACAGCCCATTGGCTCAACATTGTTTTGCCTTGGTGATTAGCGCTGGAGATGTCTCTACATGTGCCTAAATTTGAGTTCCCAGCTGCTCCATCGGAATTGCCTTGTTGATGAATTCCGCGCTTGCAAGTCAATGTGCGAGAAGGAGGCGAGAGCGTCCCCAAGGCTTGGCTCAGCCTCTCCACCTTCTATCCTCCTCGCCGCATGGCAACGTGCGCCTACCAATCTGCGTCGGAGGTGTTCGCCATTGAATTGCAAGCGCTCTGTATACGGTTTTACAACTCCTACACACACAGGCTGTATACGGTTTTAGTTGCTCCTCTTAAATCTAAATCCGGGTTCTCGAGCTTACAATGCTGCAGATATTCCGAACTTCGCACATCAACTCACGGCGCTTTCTTGAAGGCCCCCGTTGGCGATGGACGTGAGGTTGAAGTAGAGAACGCCGTCCATCCACTGCCGTCCCTCGAGGTGGTTTGGCCGGGGCATGTAGTACGGCTCTGAGGAGACAAAACCGACACGAACTCGTTATCGGGCATTCGAGTAGGTTTGTCATAAATCTAAAGGCATTCGAAAGAATTTCGTTATCGCCCAGCTTACCGGTGAACTCCAGAAACCGTAGGTCCACGTCGCTGGCGATCTGACAGAAGTCGAGGGCGAGCAGGTATCTCCTGTTCTGCCGAAGTCCGCTGACTCCGATGTGAAGACACGGGAATCTACAGTGCGGATGTTATACATCAAAAGGACAGATACCCCCAAAATATTCTCTATCCAATTCGTCAATTAAAAAAAAGCGTTATTGATTTTGTATTTGTATTACTAACAAAACCGCGAGAAGAAAAAAAAAATATCAGTCTCTTTGGAGTTTTCCAAAGCAGTTTAAAATGCACAACATCGAGGACGCCCTTGGCGAGTACTCAGATCCGTCCAAAACCGTAGTCTGTCACGTATACAGTATATTACACGCCGCATTGAACGAATAGTCCGTGAACTAATGCCTGAACTGCCGGTTAACCCCAGTGCAATAGCAACTGGCTTCCTGTCGCTGCACGGACCTTGCGATCTCGTGATCATCCCCGTTCACCTTGCTGCGCTCGCCTTTGTCGCTGCTGTTCCGCTTTAGTGGTACAGCCTCCAGATAATTTAACAATATCGCGTGCAAGGTCTAACAGCCGGTAGCTCAGCGCCTAATCGCGGTGTAAAAGAGCAGGTCAGCGAGACTACGCGCGTGTAGCAGAAGGCCCACGCCTAGCGTCGCTGACTTATTAAGGCGCTGACCTATCATCCGGTCGGCGCTCGCGCGACATTGTTAAAAATTCTGGAGGCTGTACACAAAGCCCGCAAGCAAGAACCTTCATAGTGCGCGTAGTCCACCGCGCTGCCGCCGCGCGTAATCTGGTGAAAATCTTCGCTCCTAGAGCAGTCGGCGATCGTACACAGATAATGAAATTGGCGACTGTACGCTCACGCTCTATCGTGGTTACATCTGAGGCTCGATCATAGTAGCGCTAAGAGTTGGCCCTTTAAGACTATGCATTTAAAATATTTGGACAGGTCATCAATACTAACGAGTCACGACTTTGTACACTGTTCTACTATAGTCACAGGTCTAATAAGCACCCACCGTCCTCCTGTTGCCACAAGGACACCACTGGTTTCATCCCGCAGTGCGTCTCGCATGTTGAAACCCCTGCGGTCACCGCAGCAGCACCTCTGTGGTGCTCCACGTAGCACGGCCGCGTCCGCTTCGACGCCTTGGACACCATCGTCCGGTGTTCCGTCATCCAGTGCAATGACGCTTTCCAGCGAATCGTCTCCGTGTCCAGCGCCCGTCGCCGATGGTTTGGACTCTAGACTGACTCGCCGGAAGTCTTCAATTTCTTCATCGTCCTGAAGAAGTCCCTCCAGGAACGAATGGCACTGGAACTTGGCGTTGGCGATGTCGTCTTCTGCCATGACTGTCTTCGAGTGACTAGTCAAAGGTCTAACCTCGGAGCTCGATGCCGCGTACCGTGAGATGTGTGATGAAGTTCTTTCAGCAGCTATTCTTAAAGCGGGTGATGACGGAAGCCGAAAGCTGGTTCGAAGTTTGCTTTTGCTGAACGTCGCAGTGGCCTAGCTCGACAGAGTTCTTGAAAGCAGCAACTGAGTACTGCGCTCAGCGCATAGGCCCGAGCTACTTTGAGGTTCGTGATAGCTGAGTACGTCCCACGTAAAAGTCACGAGTTTTGTAAGACACTCCCCTTTTGATGGTTGCGCCCTCGGCTCGCCTCGGCGCGGTGTCGGCGACACGTTTGCATTGACGCTTCATCACGCTGCAGTTTGCTGGTCACGTAGGAGTTGCTGTCTAAGTTTCACTTGTCGGCTGGTGCTTCGGAAGTGCCGATCGTCAAAATAGATATAGGTAAATAGATATAGGACTTGCCTAGTCATACGTATGAATGATTTTGGATGCAAGGCTCATGGTCAGTTGACCATGAGCCCCAAAGCATAGTCTTGTTGTTTGTAAGTCGGCCTAACGGTTGAATTAATTATATAATTAATTCAACCGTTAGGCCGACTTATACTCACAATTGGCAGACCAAGTTCGGAAAAAAAGTTGGCAAAAAATAATAGTTTTTTTCTTTATTTTTTTTTAAACGGTAGCTTTATAGGTTTAGTTACGCTCAAGGCAATGTCCTCGTCCTTAAGGCCATGTCTTCATGGTAATGTCCTGGAGGTCGCGTAATCAAGGTAACGTAATGCCCGTGCAAGGTCGCGCAATCAAGGTCAGATAAGCGCTGGTTGCGTAAGCTCCGTTCGCGCAAGCGCCGGTCGCGTAAGCTCGTAAGCGTCAGTAGCTGAGGATGACGTGCCTGACGTCATTGACACCGTCCTCAACGTCGCCCTAGGGGTCGTCCTTGAGGTCTTCCTAGACGTCATCTTTGAGGTCATCCGAGAGGTCATTCTTGACGTTGTCCTAAACGCCGTCTTCGACGTCGTCCTAGACGGCGTCCTTGCAGGTCGTCCTAGACGTCATACTCGACGTCGTCCGAGGCGTCGTTCTTGAGGTCGGCGTCCGTGGGACCAAAAAATCGCATAATGCAACGCGCGCAGCCACGTGTGACGCCACACATGGCTGTGACGCCATGACCCTATCGACCCGCTAAGTTTGGCGGGAAAATTTAGCAGAACATTTTTCCGCAAAATTTAGCGGGAAATAGTACCGCCGAATTTCGCGGGAAAATTAAAAAAAAACAAAAAACACGTGGCGTCATGTAACGTGACGTTGCACGTGACGCTACCGACTAGACCACGCGCATACGCTTACACGCCTTGGGAACGAATGCGGGTTTAATGAGAAGACTGGGAACGGAGCCCGATAACGCTATCGCATTCCACTCTTAAAGGCGAAGCGTAAGCGCCCCCCAAGTTTTTTACAACCATTTCATCATTGTACCATGTTCTTTCCTAATTGTTTTCACTAACGACGTTCTTGTAAAGCTACCGCATTTTATCGCGTTTGGATGAATGAACATGCCTGTAAATTTTCTTGAACGTGGTCTGCCTGCTGTAAGTAATTAAGAGATCCTATAATTTAAGTACTTAGTAAAGGTCCTTTACTGGCCCATGTTGCATGTGATTCCCCACTTTTTGTTTTTGCCAAGCATGGAGTTGCAAATACTGCGTATTCGGGTTAGTGACGTGTGCTCGTTGAATGATCGCGTAGGGCGTTTCAGTTGTCTAGGCCTAACTTGCTGGCGTAAGACCGTGCTTCTTTCGCCAGATTCTTTCCCTCGGTAAAGTCCTTGCGTTTTCTGGATGTTCTGTACTTGTCAATGACTTGCTTTCTGTGTTCATTTCATTTCATTCATTTCATTTATTGATACTGTCAGCCCTTGCCCAGGGCTATTACAGGGGTGGAAAAAAAGGACAATAATAAACAAACATGTACGCTTACACGCAAGCATACACAAAGGTTATAGACATATTGAGATGCTTCGTTATTTCGGCAGTTTACGAAACGAATATCACTTCGTAGTTGTGAAACTTTTCTTTATACAAGCTGTAGGGGCTTTAATTTGTAGCACATACAATAATATCAGTGATACGCTCCAGAAATTCATTTAGCGACATAGATGACACAGCGGAATCAGGTAATATATTCCAATCTTTAATAGCCCTCGGAAAAAAACTGTACTTAAAGCAATCGTTTTTAACAGATGGATTCGGAATGTACATGCTATGACGATGTCTTGAGGATTCAGTGGAGGAAATTTCAAAGTACTCAGATTTCCTTATCTTTACGCAATTATGAATAATCTGAAAAAGAAACTTTAACCTTTCATACTTCGTTCTTGATTCAAATGTAGGAAGATTGGCAAGTTCACATAATTTTGTGGGGGAACGAACGTGGCTGTATTTATTAAAAATAAACCTGGGTGCGAGTCGCTGAATTTTCTCCAGCTTATTGCAATTTGTAACGGTATATGGGTCCGATACAATTTTAGAATACTCGATGACGGGTTTTACGAGTGTCTTATAAGCCAGACTTTTTATTTCAGGAGTTGCAATAGCGAGGTTTCGTCGAAGGCACCACCGTGCTTTATTAGCTTTGACGCATACGTTATGAATGTGAGTGTTCCATTTTAGATCAGAAGTAAATATTAAGCCTAAGTATTTATGTTCTTTTACTCTCTCAAGCTCAGCACTCCCAATACAATAATTATAAGCCAAAACATTTTTTTCTCTCGTAATAGACATGAAGACTGATTTTTCAGGGTTTAGCACCATTTGCCAATTGTTACACCACTCTTTAATTTTTTCTAAGTTATAGTTTAATTCGATTTTATCAGCTGATGTCTCAATTTTATTATAAATCACACGATCGTCGGCGAATAGTCTGATTGGAACTGAGATGTCATTGCCGCAGATCGTTAATATAAATAAAGAATAAAAGAGGACCCAAGACGCTGCCCTAGGGTACGCCTGAAACAACTGGGGACATAGTGGATTTGCTACCCCCAACTTTAACATACTGATTCCGTGATGAAAGATAAGAGGAAAACCACTTCGTTATGGCTGGATTCTTAAAGACAGCACTGATTTTCAATAACAATTTGGGGTGAGATACTTTGTCAAACGCCTTTGCGAAATCTAGGAGTATTATATCAGTTTGACCACGACAGTTTATCTTTTGAGAGAGATCATGAACAGTTTCTATGAGCTGGGTAGTCGTGCAAAGACCTCTGCGGAAACCATGTTGTGATTTAAATAATATATCATATTTTTCAAGGTAAGCCAGTAGATGTTCAGATATGATATGCTCAAGACGTTTAGAGCATGTATTAGTAAGGGAAATGGGGCGAAAGTTACAGACGTCATTAATTCTACCGCTCTTGTGGACGGGTATAATTTTTGCTATTTTCCACGAGCTGGGAAAAGAACTGCTATTCATAGACAATCTAAAGATGATAGTAAGGTATTTAGAAACCCACTCAGCATACCTTTTTAAAAATTCATTTAGAATTTCGTCTTGACCCGGGCTCTTTTTTGAGTCGATGTTAAGTAGAAGTTTAAAAACTCCTTGCTCACTTATATCTAAATCATTGATGGGAGGATTGTTGAAAGAATCACTAAAGCTTGGCAAATTTCCATCATCGTTGGTAAAAACGGATGAAAAAAAAGTGCTAAAATTTTCAACTCTTTGCTTTTCATTTTTTGGGTCAGAGGCACGCTGCTGGAACTTAGCCGAAGGGTTGACGTACCGCCAGAACCTCTCAGGTGCCTCACTAAGAAATTGTTTAAGTGTTATATTATAAAACCTTTCTTTAGACTCTCTAACTAGACGCCTCAGCTCCCGACTCAATCGCTGAATGCAAGTTTTTTTTTCTACACCTGTACCATGTGAACTCGCTCGTTTCCTCTTCAGTTGTCGTTTTGCATGGATTATTTCCCTTGTAATTTAAGGATTTTTGTTCGCGATTTTTTTAGGGCGCTTTGGTATAAATCGCTCAATACACCGTAAAGTCAAGCTTGAAAAATAGTCCCATAACGTGTCTGGGCTAGCATTTCATTGGTAAAGAAACACAAAAATCATCAAACGATTGTTCAAGGCAATCAAGTACGCTTACATCATCAGCACTTCTAAAATCCAAAAACATCTTTCGTGAATGACTGTGCGATTTTTCTGGGGTAACATTCAATGAGACAAGTACCATCCTATGATCGGATAGGCCTTCTTCGGTTTCACATTTCGAAAAAGATGGTTTTAAACTCTCGGAAACAAAAACTAGATCTAAAATTGTTGACGTTGTTGAACATACTCTAGTGTAATCTGTTACCACCTGGGATAAGTTATAGCAAAATGCAAACTCTAATAATTGATCGCAACTGGCTACTTCCGCCGTTCCATGAGAATATGATGACCAGTCAATCCCAGGTAAATTAAGATCTCCCAGTAACAATATGTTGTCTCCGTAACGTAAATTGGAATCCATGCAGCCCCTTAGTTTTAACAGCATTTCAACTGGCGAATTTGGGGCTCTGTACGCGCCACCAATATAAACTGTACGGTTATTCAATTTTGTCTTGATCCATAATGCTTTCACATCCCGCACTTTGTCATTACGATGGAACGTGTGTGTCCGGGTTTGGGCCGCCGCGTTTACTGTTTTCTGGACTGCCGCCTTTACGGATGCTTCTCTCATGGGACACGTTAGTTCGTCAATGGCAACGTTACTAAACCACTCAGTTGGGAAACTGCCATAGAGACTGCTCTGAAAAAGCGGCCGCGATCTGTCCTCGAGAACCGAGCTAATGGTGAACACAACGCCGCCATTTCTCCCCCAGCGGCCACTGGAGGAACTGTTCGTGACTTGTATTTTGGCGGCCGAAACAGATACAGCGGAAGAGGTTACAGGGATGCCACCCCCGTCTCCCCAGCGGACACGCCGCGTCTTACTACGGAAGTTAAA